GCGGTCTTCAGCGATTGCTCAGTACTACCTGATAGCTCAGATACATTGAGAATAGCTCATCTGTTTTTTTTTCCTGTGTATCGTTCTGAAATGAGGTTTGGTCTTGCATGTCACAGTGACATGGCACACAAATCCAACATGAGTATCCTTGCTAGCCTTCATAAATGCATGCCCACCTCAGCAGCCAAGTGTGATGTCGCAAATAGTGATTTCAGAAGAGTAAGAGCTATTAGTAATGAACTTCTGAAAAAACAGCGTATGCAAATGTTGCTATCTCCTTTCTACCAGTATAGTTTAGATGCAAACTCTATGAAGTTTATGACAACAGCTCATGGTTTTTTTTCTACCTCAAGAGATTTTGATAGCAATAATGTCCCTCATTTGGGCATCATGATTGCATCATAACAGGATTTGGCTCCCAATCTCTTAACATATAAACTCTGTTGTTTAAATGCAGTAATTCCATGTTGGATTGCTATTTAGATCCAGAAGTTGCATCATTCTCATATGTACAAACAGTGAATCTCTAGGGCTCCTGGCTACTCTTCCCTTCACCCACAGTGTGTAACAATAACATATGTAAGTGAGCTGTCTGCAAAATACAGGTTCTTCTAACAAGCTCACGCTGCTTTTTAGAGGCAGCGGTCAGGAAGTAAGGCAAGAGAAACATGTAGGGAATGGTCTGTGAAGTGTACCGCGGGGTGAATGGTGTTATGAGACCTATTGCTACCTGAATCTGGAAAAGCTCCACTCTTTCCTCCTGCACACTGGCTCCAGGTTATCCTGAGGACTAGGAGAAGACCCAGGCAAGAGAAGGAGGAGGATGATATTCATTCCATCTGTGGGGTTTTTATTTCACTTGTTCAGGAAAAATGCAACCAAGGCAACTTAATGCAGACCTGAATGAATCTCAGGAAGGCCAGAGAAAAAATCCCATGCACTTTGTAGTGGACCAGTACATCTCTCTGCCCTGCTGATTCATTGGCATTTCTCGCTGAGGAGGGGAGAGCACCCCCAGGTACTCTGCCAAAGGTGCAGCCGCTTCCACCTGCAATACAGCAAAGCCTGATTCCAGGGAGCACAGTGTGTGTGCAGTTGTGCTTAATAACCCCCTGCTCCTGACATGAGTGACTTGGTGTGTAACTAAGTGACTGGCTATCCTGAGGACAGGTAAGGGAAGTCATACTTTACTGATGATTTGTACTGCAAGCATGAGCACAGCCAGGTGCACTCACTTTGTACTGTTGAAGTAGCTGCTGCTTGGGGCTCTTGGTTAACATCTGTGTAAGATTTGCTTAATTTTGAACAATTGCTTCATAAATCATTCTGTAGTGCATTTATAATGCCAAAATTTTATTAGACTCTTTTGAGAATATTGAAAAATATTGGGAGTTTTATGGGATGTTTCTGTTAAATGGAAAATGCATGAAGTGAGAAGTAAAATCAGATGAACCATTGTCATCTTCAGCGCTTCCACATTCAGGGAATCCTTCCTCTATGCTTCTAGTGGAGTCTGAAGCATAAAATCCAGTATTAGGAGATACGAAAAGGTGCTTGCTGGCTTGTTCTTGTATGAGTAGGAAACTACTTCCAGTGCAGTACTGCCAAAGTGTCCCCATTATTTCGTCTGTTAACTTACAGTGTTTATTCTCTCTTAGATTGGAGATCATTGTAATTCAGTTATTTGGCTATTTGAGGCATAGAATCAAAGCAACCATTTGGTGGTGATTTTGACATAATGTTTGACCTGTTTGTGTGGGACTTGCATTGTGCAAGTAGCATAACTAAAATCTAAAATATGGGGATAAATTGTAACATAGCATGCTGGGCATTGCTTTTAGATATCCTCAGGTATTAATCAGCAGTAGTGTCATGTACCCCTGAAATCTCTGTAGTTTTAAACTCCTTAATACAATTGTGTTTCTTAGTATGCATAAGAAAATGCCGCACATGAAAAATATGTTTTCTTCAAGTGGAAAGTATTGAAGTTTTCTTTAAAGAACATTAAAAACACAATATTGCCTGTTCTTAAATTGATAATGTTCTTTACACACTGTATTTTATACTTTCCTGGTTTGAAACAGATTAGCACAATTTAAAGCTCACTTGAACTAGCCTGAGGCCACGAGCATCACATTAAATATCTTACAATTGGTATAATTTGGTTTAACGTTCTGTACTAACATGGTATCATGTTGAAGTGCAATAAAATATGTAACTTCAATATTAACTTTTTTTTTTAACCTTGTGGAGAATTGACAGAAGTTGTCCTTGCTGTAGCAAAGTCCTAAGTGCTACCTTTGTTTTCCTGTAAGCTGTATCTCCCAGAAATGCTTTGTTTAATACTGTGTGCTCACCAGCGTGGTGTGTCACTGAAGGAAGCTCTGATGGCTGTGCACCCTTTCCTTCAAAAAGTAACCTACTGAGAATTTTCTTAGGTCAGTTTGTGGCATGGTTATGTAGCTCAGTATGGAGGCTTTATCTCTGTGTTAGCCAGATCAAGAGCTGGCACCGTTTGGGCAATTTCTGTTACAGATGTAAGAAAGTGGTTTGTGATCTCAAAGGGCTAGAGGCAATTCCCTGTGAAGTCATTAGATGGTTTCCTATCAGCTGCACCAAAAATTAGAGCATGTCCCATGAGACTTATTTGGGAGGCTGCTTGCAAAGTAGGCATTTTGCTTGCCAGCTTATCAATCAAAATGTATTTGCCTCTTTATTTCTGTGACTGTGGTGCTTTGTAAGACGCTCATGTGGAAACTTGCCCAGTTTCACCTTCTAGGAATTAGTGCTGCAGTTCCCTGACACTTGCAGTGCACACCATTTGCAAGGAGTTGGGGGCACTGTTTGGTTGATGCATCTTGTCTTCACGACTGCAGTGCTCCTGCTGTTATATTTCTCTGGAGAACTGAGCTTTGAATGGAATGTCTAAAAGACACCCAATCATAATTTGGGAAAGCAGGAGGTGGTTATTCTTTGACTAATACAAAAGCATCCTGTTGTCCTAGGATGTAACACATGAAGGTGATTAGCTACAAAGATTGTGGGTAAATAAGATAACCTTTTAACTGTGCTCATTATATTAAGGGTGCAAAGGAGAGGAAAAGGTTGAAAGACTTCTACAGCTTTCTGCAATTGTGAGCATCTTTATCAAATGGGTTTCTAGCCTGTTTGTAGCTCTGTCACTAGAGCATTCTAAGATGAAGTTCGGGCTCTGTATCCAAGGGATGAGGACAGTGTTGGCAATTGCTTGCATTACCCTTTCCTTTGGGGTGTCTGGTAGCTGGGTAGCATGGCCACCTGGGGGCTCATGTGCACATGAACACCAATGTACAAAATGCATGGTAAAACAAGGGTGAGGCAGGCAGTAGTCTGCTACCTGAGCTTCCAAATCACAGTTCGGTTGTAAATACAACCTTGGAAAATTGTAAGAAAATGGCTTTTCTTACAATAATAAAGCAAAAAAGGTCTAAAACTTGTGGCAGCAATTCTTTGTAAGAAGTACTCCTTCATAGGACATGCAATGGAACTCAGTGTTTTTTCAAAGCAATATGAAAGAAAGTGAACCTAGTCAGGTGTCTGACTACAGACTGATTTTGTCAGAAGCAGTAATGTAGAAAGGGTTTGTGGTTTGTGTGTCTCTGATAACGTGATGTCCTGTTGTTAAAACAGCAGTAGCCCAAGTCTGAAAATGGGGGTAGGCAGGGTTAGAACTGTCTTCTAGTCAGGAACCACAGGAGCTGTACCACGAGGGCAGGTAGCACTGGGACCTGGAGAACATCAGTGTCTCTGGTGATCATCTCATGTGAAGAGTAATAGACAACTTCACATGAAATTAGTCTACAAGCCACTCTCCTTATTTAAAAGTAATTTTAGTCAAGGAAAGAGAACATCGAACAGTGTCAGTCTAGTAGGAAGTTGTAATTCTTTCTTTTATGAACTTTAATGAGTTTGCATCGTTTAGCCATGGGAAATGTTGCTGTTTGTTATTGTCAGTGATCACTTGACCGGGTGAGAGTAGCTTTGAAATTTTGTTCTCAATGGAATGGAAAGAGTTAGATTTGAAAAAAAGATAAGATAAGGTAAAAATAGGCTAACACCACAACTTCTGAAGGTAGTTTGCTGAAACATGATCGAAACATGCACTTCCCTTTTCAAAAAATCACTGGACCATCTAGCAAAATATGAATGCTAGCCCCAGAAGCCCAGGGTTGAAGTAACTGCATGACTGCATTTTTGCATCTCTCCTATGGACAACTTCTTAAGCTGCAGTGTTAGTTCCCAGTCCAGGCTAACACAAGGGTTTATCCCAGCTGTGTATTAGCTTATGGAGGTGGAGCTAGGTTTTGCTGCTCATGTTGCTTGCATTGCTTTCACTGCTTCAGGAATGTCAGTAGAACATGGCCCAGTGTCCTTTTGTCACTTGTGGGTTTGTTGTAGTAGATGTCTTGTAATTCTGGTTTTTAAAGTTGAAACTTTTAAACCTTCATTCTGATTTTCTTTGTTTCTGCTAACAGCTTGTTACTTCTCTATGGCTTCAGTTGGATAGCATGGCATACTGTAAAAAATCATACTGTGATAGGAGGCAGTATGTGTTTTATGCTGTGGTGTACCTCTGGTAATGCAAAGCTGGTTTAGAAGAATGGCAGCTAGTATCAGAAAGCACAGGTATGTCTGTCACAACAGTGTGCAGCTTAAAATGTAGCTCAGTTTTTATCAAAGTTGTAAGCCATGGTAAATTCATGGCAATTTGGACTCGTGGATATCCTTAATAAATACTGAGATAAACAGATAAGTCACCTGTGATGTATACTTCTAGGGATTTTTTTTTCTTTTCTTTTTTTTCCCTTCTATATGTAATTAACTGGATCTAGCCACAAGTGAAAAAAACCCAGCAATACCCAAGTGTGGTTTCTGTTATTTCCAGGTTCACATTGCTGGTGTGCGCTGTTATATTTGTGTTTGTGTTTTCTTTTTCTATCTTTTTTTTTTTTTTAATGTAGGTATTCTTTCCTGCCCGGCGTGCAAACAGACTTGTTTTGCAAGAGATGTAGTTGAAAATTGCTTTCTCAAGGATTTTCCCACTGCAAATTCAGCTATGGCAAAGGTGAGTGAAAACCACGCGGTAGGGTGCCTTGGGAGTTGTTAAAGCACTGACACTGTTTGACAAACAGAGAAGATCATTTTGAACAACAGAATCTTATGTTTTGCTTCTGCAGACAGTAGGTACGTCATTGCTAGGGATGGACTTCCTGCCTTCATGGACTCTTCTAACCTTATTTGAAGATTGACCTTGACTGTAATAAAAAAAAAATATACTGATGCTAGTGATGTAGACTGAATCTGTACAATTTATTGTGTATATTATTATTATAATTATTGCTTACACATATCATTACTGTGTATATATTATGTATTATCTGGAGGATAATGGATTTCTTGGGTGCCTCATTATCCCCTTTCAGCTCTCAACACAAAGTAAAGAGAAACAAAACTATTGGATGAATGGTTCCACTAAGATTACCCATTAGAACCTGTGGAAGTTTATCATTTTCTGATTATTTTAATGATAAAAGAAGTCACATTTGTATTTCAGTGTTTTTTGGGGGAATGGATGTAAAACATAATTGGAATACTTTTTCCATAATACATGATGGAAGATCTATATTTCCACTCCTCTAAACTCCTGTGGGCGCAGCAACAATTTGTCAATTCTGCCCCATGCAGAAGGCTTCAGATCTCTGTAAGTTACGTGAGTGAGTGAGTGACCCACTGATCTAGTTGCAAGCAAGTACTGATTAGCTGTGCATCTTCCCTGTCAATCATTTCCATGTTTCATTTTCTCCATTTTAAAAATGGAGAGAGCATATAATCTCATCCATAGAGTGCTCTAGGGGAATTCAGAAATCAAGGTGAGCAAAGTGTGTGGTCTACAGATCTAAGTTGCTTGAAGAGTGCCATGTAACTTTAAAACAGAATGATACGTTCACATATTCTCTGAAAAGAGCTAAATTCAGAGGATACTGTTGAATATGTAGAATGACCTTATTGTAATGGGATTTCTTAATTACTATGACTCACTTCATTTACCTTTCAATGAGAGTTGGTATAGAAAGGAAATCAAATGAGAAAATCTATTATCTAGATTGGTTTTTTAGACTTTTGTTAAAAGAACATGCTTTTCTTTCTTTATTTTTTTCTTTTTTCTTTTTCCTGTTCTGTAACCCCTTAGGAGTCCTATGAGCAGTTCAGTAAAGCAGAATTCTCGCTGGAACACAGGAACACCCCAGGGGGACTAAAGAACCTTCCTAATAGTTTTTTGTTTTCTTCCCTTTTATTGACATTCATATGACAGAAAGCCCTGCTTACTGTCCTTTAAACACCCTTCTCTTAAAACTAGAGCCACATTCTCACTATCTATGGTATCAAGGGGAGAAGCACCAGCTCATCCAACTGAAGCACAGCCATCATTTTCTTAACTTACCTGATGTTCAAATGGGAATCTGCCAAAGCCCAAAACAGAGTGTTTGGGTGCAAGATGTGTTTCAGTGAGTTCTATCATACAAAAATGATGGAATGTGCTACCTACCAGCTGCAGAAATGTCAAAAGTATGCAGTTCAGTGTCTCTTGCTGAAAAGACCATTTCTAAGTCATCAAATAACCCAACTCTGGGAGCTGCCTGTGCAGCCCCACTAAAGAGAATGATAAAGTTCAAATGAATAATAACAGCTTTTTTTTTGTTCCTCTTGTGGTGAAATAAAACCTTTAAGCCAATCTTGAGTCTCAGAGTGAGGTAGATATGGGTGTTCCACTTAATGTTGATATTGTGGCTTAACACCAAGAAGACCAACACAGAAAGAGCTGTAATTGTTCTTCCCTTAGGATTTCTAAGGTCATCCTTTGAGATGCAGCAAATAGAATACATATATAATTTTAATTCTATCAGGGCCTACATGCTGAATGCATGCTGCTATGTATGTCTCTTTGTGTTTCCCATCAGAGTAGCTGGAGTCCAATTGTAACAAAACATATTGAAGGTAAGCTGATGGACAACAGAATGGACACCATAGGAAATCCCTTTGGTGTCTATTTGCTGCTTTAGAAGCTGTGATTGTAGCAGTAATATTTAGGAGCCATGTGTAACTACAGTAGGTATTTTGTAACTGCATATATTGTGTTTGCATCTGATGATAAACTAGTGGCAAAGCTTGTATGCTTTGATGGCATAATTACATCACTGTCTTCACTCTGCCCATTAGTACTTTAGCATTGAGAATTTTCAAATAAGGTATTTTATGCCTTGTGCAAATCCTTTTTAAGTGAAAAGTCATTACACTCTTGAAATAACTCCTGAGTTCATTCTGGATGACAAAGGAATCAAATCACCCACTTCAATTACATGCTGCTTTATTCATTTCACCCACAGGGACAGCTCCAGACAACATGGCCTATATAACAAAAGGCGTTTCCTACGCTGTTGCATCAGTAGAGATGATCATTACTTACAAGTTTGGGTTCAGCTGATGTTCCCATGTCTGTCTTATGTTTCCATTTAATCACAGTTGATATCCATGTGTAAATAGATCTTGGGTTTGGTCAACTCTTCAGAGATTTGGAAATAAGTTTTATGTTAAGAATACGTGGGTGTTTCTGTATTGTTTTCTAAACTGCATTATTGTTGGCCTGTTCTACAACTGCACTGTATCACGTCAGTGGTTCATATCATGTTACAACAAATAAACTAATTTTAAGTGAAGCAATGTAGATTTAGAGTAGCGCTACTTAAGTAGCTCCAATTTATAAATGCAATTTCATATCAGTGAAAATAAGGAAACATCCTCCTACCTCTATATACCTACACATATTCATATGTATGTGTCAGGTTTGTGTGCTACTGATGTTTTACAGCCATCAGTATATAAACAGTAAGAGAAAGGGATTACAAATTCCATCAATCATTTTCAAAAGTAACTTCCCATAGCCCTCCTTAAACTGAAATCAAACAAGTCTTAATTTATGGTCTTGTGGCTCTTCTGGTTCACAAGAAACAAGTCATTGTGGCGATTTATTCTGACCTTGTGAGTAACACAGACCCTAGGGTTTTTGCTGAATCATTCCTGCACTTTGTTATAATCACATACTATTGCACCGAAAGACAACCAATGTGATTTAAGAGCTTTGGATATTAATTTTATTCCATTCCCATTTGCAACAATAACCAAACTCCTAAAATCACTCAAATCACACTAATCTAAGAAAGCAAAATAGGAAGCTTACCGATCTAGCTAAGTCTTTTTCTACAGGCTAATCTGTTATCCTTGCATGTAATCGCACTTTCTGTTCTTAGAGCTGCTCCATGTGTAAAGAGAAGAGACCTGCTCATAGCCTCTGTACAAGCTGCAATAAGTGGCTGTGCAGCACATGTACAGAGGAACACAGGCATAGCAAGGAAACTGGGGACCGCTTCCTGTCTGTATCCCTGAAGGGCTGCGCAGGTACTGCAAATACACTTGAATATTCTATATTTCATCTCATATCAGTTATTGACTAGAAAATGGAATGGCTGCAGGCTGTGTTCTGGAGACACCGTGCTCTGTGTGAGTGAGACTTACAGTGTCAGTGAGAGATTATTTGGATTTTCTGTAGCTGTAAGTGTCTGAGCTTGCCACAGTTAGCATTCCACATTATTTATAAAATTTTGATATTTGTGCTTCTTGGAAACAGTCTGTTCCACATATTTTTCAGTCTGTGGAGTGCTGGGCTAGGGTTTGGTGGGCTACCAGACCAGCTGGCCTCGACTCTGCAGTATTTCTGTCTCCATTTGGGTGATTTCTTTAGGGAAACTGCCATAAAGCAGTTGTCATGTTTATGGACAAGGTGTGGAAGTAGAGTCCCAGACAGCAAAACTCTGTGAATGCTGTAGGGTGTTCTTTTGTAAGTGAAAAGCATGGTTTTTGAGTATGGTCGGTGTTTTACTATCAGCAATTACAAATGAAACCCACTGCAAATGTCTTCTCCATGTACAGCAGTAATCCGCAGAGAGAATGGTCATCTCGTGTTGCTGATCATTATTTTCTTTACTTAGAGTCAGTATTGAGGCATATACTAACCTAAACTTACAAAAGGAATTTGTAACCTAAGTTAAGAGTGTTATAATTCTATAGAATGATTCAGATTTACACTTTGCTTTCATCTGAAGTTGTTTGTGCTGCCCTATCACCCTTCTTTATAAGGAAACAGAAAAAGGAATATACATAGTAGTAGCTCACTGCTTACGCAAGTTATAATGTGACTTTAGAATTTAGCTTAGAGAATCCTGTACTTCGTTATTGCCATAGGTTGAGTTCTTTGAATTCCCAGCTGTTCACGTGAAATCCAGTTTGTGACACTTCACTTGGCACATGATATGCCATTGACAAATAGAATGTGAACAGAAAGTGTAAGAATGATAATTACCATAGAGCCACCAAGGTTGGAAAAGGCCTCCAAGATCATCCAGTCCAACCATCCACCACCATTTCCCCACTAAAGCATGTCCTTTAATACATGATCTAAACTTCTCTCGAACCTTTCCAGGGACAAGCACAGATGACATTTAAATATTGTCTAGGTCTTTTCTAGAGAATAATGGAAACTGAAGACCCCTAGCACCCCCTCAAATACCCTGATTGGGTGGACAATACATTTTTCTTCCTGAGTTAATGGCAAGATCAGAAAATTGGTTTTGAGGCTCCAACTGTTTATAATTTCATTTCATGTTGAGTAAGCTTACCAGCTCATGTTGTTGATAAATGATACTAAGAAAATCTACAGGTGGCTTAGTTGTGGTTTTGTGTATGCCATATAAATACAAAGATGCAAGCACAAACTCAAATGCTTTATCATCTTTTTAATCCTCAATTCTATTCAATTCTAACTTAAGAGTTCTGATCAAAACGTTTGTTCCTAGGGAAAACACATGCAGACTTGTGCGTTTGTTTCATATCAGATTTCTTAGACTTCAACTCATTTTAAAACTAGAGGGTGTAGGTCTGATCTTAGTATAACATAGGTTGAGAATACACCATGGCTCAGTGGTAGTTCTCACTGGTGTATCACTTGCTAGTGGCAGAGGCCCTGGGTCTGTGCTGTAATTAGATTATCTTGATTTTTATCCTCATTTTGCATTTGAGATCTGCTCATCTCTTAAATCTGACACAGAACTGAAAAAACACTAATTCCTCTAGGATGATTACAATTATCCAGAGACGAAAAAACTTGCCAGAAAGAAAGAAAAGAAAAAAGAGAAATCATTACATAAAATGGTTATTAAGCTTTGATTCTTAAGACAGCATCTTGTTATAAGGTGGAGTTTAATAGAAATAATTTGATATTGTGAGCTTGCATACTCTGCATGTGCTCAATGCTTAGAAAGGCTTTAACCAACTTGTGCTCAATTTTAGATAAACATTATGGACTTCTTAGTTTTCCTCATATTTATTATACCTGACCCCGTATGGGTGGAAGAGCATCCACCTGGTTTCTTATCTAGTAAATAATAATTAAAATCAATGTGGTTTTGTTTGTAAATGTAATGCAAGGGATTTTGCTTTGCCATTTTTTAGAGTTTCTTCATCCTCTTGTGGACTGTGTTCCTTCCTTCTAAAATAATTCTTCTATATCCAGGGAGGAAAGAAAGAATTTATTGTATAGGAGAAGTATTTCCACTTTACATATTCACTGTCCATTTGTAGTCTTCATCACATTACTCTTTAGCAAATCATTATAAGAACAGATATTAGTGCTTAATACCAATATCTTTTAGTTGCTGAAGTTGTGTTCACAATGAACTTAAGTTTATGAAAAATAATTCCTCATAGCTTTTTAAAAACAAAAGATTTTTTTGTTTGCACTGTGACTTCAGGTTTCTTTAATGTATTTGCTTGTCTGCATTTTACAGTGTGGTTTTGTTAATTGGCTTGCAAGGTCAGCACATTCAAAATCATGAAACAGGTACCCAAAATTGTGAGAGGGATTTAAATATCATGAGAGTTTAGAGGTCTGATTATTAATTCCTGAGTCTCTTTGATGTGATCAATTTGTAGGATGTACCAGGAGGAAAACAAAACAAAACACATGCACACACACAAACAAAAACCAAACAAATTCCCATGCTTCGTATAATCAAACTGTTTCAAGATCTGAGTCTTTAGAAATAACATCAAGGCTTATAAAATATTATTTACTGACCTACAATAGCACTTCTGCTCAATGACACCATTGCTTTATGTTCCTCAGCGACCGAAGAAGAGGCAAATGAATTGCCCTTACTTTGTCCAGTGCACACTCAAGAACCACTCAAGCTCTTCTGTGAGACCTGTGATATCCTTACGTGCAGCAGCTGCCTGCTGAAAGACCATAAGGAGCACAGGTACGGGAGATTGGTCGCTTCATGTCTTTTTCATGCATAGCTAATTCAGATTTAGGACTGTTCCATCTGCATTTCCTATCAACTGAAATTTCAGCATAGTCTAGCTTCATAGCCACAACAAACTCAGTTCCATTGTCTTTTGCTCAGCGAGATTAATATGTGGGTTACAGCCCCTACAGAACTCTACACTGTTCTCAGCGCTATGTTTCTTCCAAATTATTTTCTCCTTCAGACACAGTATACAGGAGTATCTTTAAGCACCATCATAGAACTGTAGAATCAATGAGATTGGAAAAGACCTCTAAGATCAAGTCCAACTGTCAACCCATGATCAACACACATGAGACCCTAGATAAGAGTTCAGCTCTGTCCTTAATATGGTCCAAATCTGTTATTCAGTTCTGAGGTGTATGAATCATGTAAGGAATTATCTATACACAGTGACTTTTTTGTGAGATGCGCTGCCTTTATGTAGGATGTTAAATTTGGGATAGCTGTCACAGCATTTGTGGTAGGAAAGAAGCAGAGGGTTGTGTCTAGACAGACATGAAGGCAGCTGCTCTCCTAAATTGTCCATCTGAGAGCAATTGACTTGAATATACCTATTTTTTTTCTGCTTAAGGCATACAACTTCTGCTTTCAAATACAAAAAGCTAAAGTGGATCCCTAGGAATTATGTTTGGAAAAAGGCAGGAGAAATTTGAGAAGAGCAGTACCTGTGACAGTTAAAATGGATTGTCTGGGTTACAGAGTCAAATTCCCACAATACGTGTACTACAGGCAAAGACAGAGTAGTGGCCAGAAAAATAAAGAATTACCATATCTGACTGTTCAGTGTACAGGTTTGGAAGTTCAGGTCCGTGTAAGTCCCCACTAATCAAATCACACATGATAAACTCCTTAATCAACAGCAACTGTCAACTTTCAGCAATGTAAATAATTAATTTTGGGGCTGGTAAGGAATGTTGTTAAGAACATATTTTAAGATATTTAAACCAAGACCTTCTGACCATCTGCCAGATATCTAAAGTGACCTCTTTTTCTTAAATACCTCTATGCCTTTGCAGTTATACTATTCTCCCATGGAAAGAAGAGCAAAACCAATGTGTTCAGTAAAAAATCCAGAACTAGATTTTATTTTTTTATTAGGGAGCAGCTAGAACTGCTCCCTTTCCTTTCACTGTGATTTTAAAGATAAGACAAAACTGATCCTTGCGAGCTGTGCATCTGGCCCAGGTTCCTTAGAGGAGTCTGTGGCTGCAGGGAGAAGCAAGCTCTACCCGAGGGAAATGCAGAGCAGCAGATGAAGTCTAGCAATGGGCAGTTGTACTTAATGGCACAATGCTGCTGTGGTGACGCCAAATCCAACAGTTGTCCTCTAACCTATTACAATAGCAGGAAAGGTAAACAATGCTTTATTTAAGCTTATAAAAGAAAAAGCAAGGCATTATCTAGCTTCTCATGAGTATCTTAACAATGGAAATGAACATACAGTGAAAATTTCCCCTTCCTTTGCAGGTTCAGACATCTTGATGAAGCTTTGCAAAATCAGAGAGCTATCCTGGAAAATGTTGTAGCTAAAGTGGAGGAGAAAAAAAGTGGGATTCAGGTTTCAGCTAAACAGATTGAAGACAGGTAATTGTTTTGCATTTATTTCAGAGAATGAGTTATGAGTTAAAACACTATTTTCACTGAACACAGATTACCACAATTAAAAGCAGATACTATTCTTTTTCTTTGAGGATAGGTAAAACTATCAGATTTATGTTTAAATTATGTCACATTCACAACACTGTAATACAGGATTCCATAGTCCTTATGAGGCACCTGACAGCTAGCTTCAAAGTTTTCTTTGTATAATCTACTGTTTCTGTCCTAGAATTTGAAATAATAGAAATAAGAATTATTTTAAAAATCACAGAATGGTCTGGATTGAAAGGGGCCATAAAGATCCTTATGTTTCAACCCCCATGCTGTGTGCAGAGTCATCAACCACTACAACAGGCTGCACAGAGCCACATCCAGCCTGGACTTGAATGCCTCCAGGGATTCAAAAATAACTGAATTCTTCAGAAATCTCAGAAGAAATTGTGTTTCCAGTTAAGGCTACTATAAAATGGGAAGAGAAGAATGGGAGAACTTAGAGGAAATAGTTCAGCTTTCATTGGAGTTCTTAGTCAACATTTAGATCAGTCCTTGTAACAAATACCTACCAAGAACTGAATAAATGATATTCCAGTTGGCTCACCCAGGGATATGTATCTCTTCCCTGCAGGTTGCTTGAGGTAAAACATTTATACAAAAAAGTAGAAAATCAAATCAAAATGGCCAAGATGGTTTTGATAAATGAAATCAATAAACGAACAAACATCCTTCTCGAACAACTTGAAGTAAGTGAGTCTAGTTTCTTTCATACCTTGGGAAATTAAACTAAATTAAAATTAAATCCCAGAGCCAATGGAAAGAATATAGATTGTGAATGTTATTGTCCCTTTGCTTATGTTTTCAAATACTTTTTTTATTGCAGAATTTTATGTGGAATCAATGGTTGACAAGGATTTATGCTTAAGTAGCAAAATGTTTGCTTATCATGTTAACTACCTTTTATAATGCAGTTATAGAGAAATACGTGCACAGTTTGAGTACTTAAAAAAGCATCTTTTGATGTTAATGCTTTATTTGTCTAGCACTACACTTAGCATGTTTAGAAAAGGATCCTCAGGTCTGCTTTCTGTAAAAGATCCTATGGTTTTGACTCTTCAGTTTTTATGTGTCCAGTTGAAGCATATGTGGTAGAGGTACCCAGAGGATGGTAATACAGGTGCTGTCTTTGTGGTCCCTGAATCATGAGTTGCTGGAAACTGGAAGAACTTTCTGAGGAAACACTACATGCTTTCCCTCTGTTGGCATTCTTAGGTCTTCTCTCTTACATGTTGTAAGAGATGAGGAAGAGCTCCATTGGCAAATTCAGTTTGACTTCTACTCTTCTCTTGTGCTACGTTTTTCAGCTAAGCCAAGGCCAAAATGCTGTAATTTGTTCCTGAAGAAGTCATTTTTCTTTCTGAGTTTGGACACATTTGTTGAATAGGATTTGCTTTATCTCTATGATTGATGGTTTAGAGATTCTAAATAAGAGCACACATGCATGCTGTAACTCCAGTGATTGTGTGGATTATGTTTGCTCAAGGGATGACAACTTTCTCCTACTGTTCCACATTATTAACAGAAAATCACAAATGAAAGGAAGCAGAAATTGGAGCAACAACTGCAAGGTGTTGCAGTTTTAAGTACACAGGTTGAACACGTGCAAAACTTTGTCAACTGGGCAGTGTGCAGTAAAAACAGCATCCCGTTTCTCTTCAGTAAAGAACTGGTAAGAGCAATGTTTATTTTCTCAATAAAGTGAAATTATGCAGCATATGTGAGAAAAGTTTTAAGGATTTAATGTCTCTCCAATGTTTCTCCAAAACGCTTTTCATGATCTTGTAACTGTTAATAAAATCATAATCCTTTGATTTGTCACCAGATTGTGTTTCAGATCCAGCGCTTGTTAGAGACAAACTCTAACACAGACGTAGCCCCTCCTCTAAAGATCAGATTCACTTGGGATCCCTCCTACTGGAGTAAGCAACTGTCCAATTTTGGTAAGAACAATACAGTTTTCTTTATTAGGCAAGTGCCCAAGGACAGACCAGACACACATGTACTTTCCCTCAAGGAGTCTTCATTTTTTTTGAATCGTGGTTTAGGTGCTACCTGTCACAGCCCTGAAGAAATGCTGTCGTGACTAAAAACTTCCATGCTTTTCCTCTATTAGAAGGCATCATTATTTATAAATATTACTCTATTAACATTGCCTATGAATGTACTCTACAAATGTTATTTTTGTGTCTTAGAAAATCACAATGTAAGAACACAACTACAAATTTAATCAAACCACTGTGAGAATGGATAATTTTTTAATTAGTATTACATAACGTGCAGCATAATTGACTACCAAACAACCTTAACTTTTTCCTGATGCATGTGAAATGCAATTTTGTCCCAGTAAGCAATAACTCCGTAACTACAACACTGTGACCCCACCAGTCCCATAGGGATCCTTGGTTGAAATGGAGTACTTGCTGTACACTGATGTCATTTTCTCTGCCTTACCTAGGGATAGCTGTGCTCACACTCTTCAGATCTGTTAGTATCTCAGTGGCCATGGGACCTGAAAAGTGCTTAAGATCCTACAATTAATGAGCACAAAGATGGCTTTAAGACATTGACTATGTAATATTGGCAGTATTATTTATATAATGAATGTGCATACTTTCAGCTTGTTTCCCACCAGCTATAAATTTTCCAGCTGCTATGGGTTTTTACAGTAAATTCAGTTTGGTGGGCAGATCAATGGCATAAAGGGTTGCTTCTCGTCCTGTTGTAGGACACTGAAACCAGAAGAGGTAAAACAGTTGCAAAAGTGTTGTAGGGAATAATTTTTTCTTGGCTAAAAGCATGGAACAGATCAGTTCATAGGTCATTTCTATTTCTAGTTTTTATGATTCTTTCTTACGTAACATCAATCTATTTTATTTTTCTCACTTTAACCCTGAAAGCACTCATTTCTACCTGCCCTTATGGTTGGGAAAATGTGCTTGTAGTTTAGTGAAGAGTGGAAGTATAAGCCACATACATCAGATAAAATAATGTGAGTTGAGGGTAGTTTTTCAAAGCATTTGCTGGTATTTCAACCATGAGTCCCGTGGCCATCAGTAGGAGTTTAGTGTGATTTTAAATCACTGCAAAGTCCTGAAAAAATGTATCTTGAAGGTATATTGAAGGATTGTTTAGTAGGGTATGAGCCCATTTATATATGAACCAAAGATAAAGGAATGGCTGTCATTTGGAGTTTTCATTATGTAAATTTGTCAAGATCTTAGGAGAGTAAGTTTGCTGTTATTATTATTATTTTTGCAGGAGGCTTCACGATGGAAGGTGGACACACTTCACATCCAGATGTCCTCCTGTATGGAAATGTACCAGGATTACAGACACCCTTGTATCATGGGCACTGTTCCCCAGTGTCACAGCTGGAGCCTGTGAATAACCAGCCACATCAGCTTCCCCCTGCTGCTCAGTGTCCTATTCCTATGTGCTGCTCACACTGCCTCAGTGTACCTCACCCAAACAAAGCTCAGCCTTCTCACCAGAACATAAGCCCCCATCAACATTTTCGACAGCCTTCCGAACTGCATCAGCAGCACTTTCCCTTGCAGTACAGCATGCAGCAACGTGACAAAGAGCAAAGGGGTGTTTCCCAGCCTCTGAAGCCAACACAGTCTGAACGAGAGCAGCAGTCAAGGTCTGAGTCAGAGAATGCATCTGGGAGAACGGGAAAGCACTTACCATCCCAGCAGCTGCAACAGACTGTGCCTCTTGGCTATGCTGTTGTATCACATGAGGCTCAGCAGGTTCACACAAGCCATTCACAGCCGTTTCGCTCACAGACTGCTTTGCAGACATCAACTGTGCAAGTGCAGCTTGGCCATCTTCAGAAGATAAAGTCTAACCACGTGCAGCAGCCACCACAGCAGCAGCAGCTGTCACCAGCATCACCACCACCAAGTCAATATGAGAACAATCACAAACAAGTCATGCAGCAGAGCCTGGACATAATGCACCACCAGTTTGAACTGGAGGAGATGAAAAAGGATCTGGAGCTTCTTCTCCAGGCCCAAGGGCAGTCCAGTTTGCAGCTGAACCAAGCCAAGCCACCTCAGCATGTTCAACAGACCATAGTTGGTCAGATAAATTACATCGTGAGACAACCAGCCCCAGTTCAGCAGCAAATTGAAGATGAAGCACAAGTAAGTTTTAAAAGTTCTTTCCTGTTGTTTTTGGTCAATGTAAGCTCAGAAATGGGGGACACCTTTAAGATTTCATGCAGATTGAACTGTCTGTTGCCTTATCTATGCTCGTAATCAGCAGAAGCTTCATGCTTCACAGTGATCTGTCCAAAACTTTGTGTAAAGTGCTGCATAAATAACTGAGATCCCAAAGATCTGGCTCTCTAAAGGGACGAGGCAAGCAACAGGTGGGAGGATAAAAGCATCATCATTCATCCTTTGTATGTAGGTAAACGAAGGGCAGAACAATTGAATGACTGACATTATTTTTATAGCAAAGAAGGAATAAAACCCATCTTCTGAATCCCTGTCCCAGAGATCCTACCTTTGAAAAAAGGGTCAGTGCTTGATAGTAGGCATCCAAACCGTGGAAGGAAGATAAGGTGACACTATAAGAAGGCTTTGAAACTCATTCAGAACAGTGAGGATTGCAGTGGAAGGGTGGTTGAGGTTGGTTGAGGTTTCCCATTCTGTAAACTCTGTGGAGTTCCTGCCTTGAATGACTTACCTTAGTACCTTACCTGGCTTTTGGAATACCTATGCATTTCAGCAGGTTTATTGATCTTTTTCTATGAATATATGAGTGAAATATCTCTCTATATATTAATTTATCTCTCCAGTTAGAGTTTGAATGTCTTTGTTGTGTTAGTCTTTCCAGTTTTTTTGTATTGTGTGTGCTGTGTTGATGCAAGTTTGCTACTGTTTTTACCAAGATTTTGAAAACACTAACTCTTAATCTTGATTTATAGGTCTGTGAGAATTCCACTGAACTTGATGCCCAGAAGCCTGTAGTTCCTGTTGACAGAAGCAAAATATCTTCCACGTCTCAATCATTAGATGAAGAAATCAGTGTCAGCAGTGACTCTGCTGACATAACATTGCAACAATCAACTTTCCATCCAGTGAGAAAGGTATAAAGAACTTTAAAAAATAAACATGTCAGTGGGAAAGCATAATTTGATATTGAGTATAACATGGCATTGGAATTTGCAATCAAGGTGAAAAAAATTAAAATACGGTAAAAGTTGGCAAATAAACTTGTAAATCTTCAGAGATAGTCATTGCCTAACCTTGTGTACGTCCTCCAGAAATGTGTATACACTGTGCTGTAGCCCAGATAGCAACAAGCCAGAGTTGTTTAGCTATAGCTGGCATGACTGGTGAATAAATAGAATATCTGCTTCTTCACAGAGTAAATTCTGTCCACTTCCTGTCTTTAGTGATTTAACTGTCAGGTCTTTCTCCTACCATACTAGCAGCAGTTGAATTTGAAAAAGGGCTCACAGATTCTGATGAAATCCTGAAAGGTATCCTCAAAAATAGTGGAAATAACAGGAATTGTTAGTGGAGATGTGGTGTCTGAAAGAGTTATAACAATTCTGTTATACTCTTTGTGTATAAGCTGAAAGCCCATGAATTTCTGTATCTGTAGAATATTTTAGCATATGACATAGCCATCCTTTAATCCCTACATCCACTGCTGGGCATCCCTAGTTATTAAAGAAGGGACAAAAGCAAAAACAAAAATAGGAGAATTTGTCTTTCTCAGTAGATTCTTCTTGGCTTTGAATACTGCCAGTGCATTTGAGGTGGGTGAATTCCCTTTTGCCTCTCCATAGTTTGTTTAAAGTACTCCGAACTGCACTTCATGTTCTGGTTGCTCAAATCTGTTTGGTATTTCTGTGCACGGCTTGTGCCATGTAGAAGTGCTTCATGGATATTTTTTCTTGGAATTTGTGCATGTAATATTGTGGAAGAACTTGTCTTTCCATGCTAAACTAACTTCTTTTCTTAGGCTGTCTTGCTTTATTGACCCAATGTATTTATGATCCTTTTGGGAATTGTAGAGAAAAAGAAAAGTAATGATTACTGAGGGTATGGAAGCAGCATAGAAACCAGATTTGGAAGCCATAGTGAGATCTGCAACTGCTAATTTAATCCTGTAAATGTGATGGCACTTCTGAATTGGGCTGGTGGCATCACAGTGTTCTGAGATGGTGACGTTTTTTGCCTCTGAAATTTCACATATGGAAGCAGAACTCACTCAGCCTCTGATGACAGAGCACAGGACTGAGGAAAGCTATGTACATTGTCTGCAAACGGACTGCCTTTGCCTTAGGAAATGACTAAAAAAAAGATATTCTTAAAGTGTAAATAAGACCACGGACTTCTCTTGTAATGCAGACACACCCTCAAAGTTATGTGTGAAAATAAATGTTAATGTTAATGGATTAGCTTTCAGAGGCTCTTTCTCTACATGAACTTTGAAGAAGCCATCCTTTTCTTCTGGACCTACAATGGAAGATTTCTTCTAAGAGCTGAAATGAGAAGTCAGAAATAGGGAAGAAAATTGAAGTACAAGTGCAAGAGACTAATGTAGTGTGATGTGAAAATGAAGGAGAAAAGAAAGGCTCTACAGGTTGAGAATGTGGCAAGAAGAGGGTAGACCTAGAAAAAAAATAAGGAAATTTTTCTACTAGTACTGAGATGTACATATTCTTTTGCAGACAACACGGATCTCTAAAGTTTTTACTGGTTTTCTGGTGTATCTGCAAGAAGTGAGGATGCTTAAGAGCTTCAGTACCCCCATCTTTGCTTGTATTTATGTTCTCTAATGAGCTGTTTGGGGTGAAATCATAATATCTTGGCAGCTCTGGCAGTGGCTGATTAGAAATGATGAAGGATAGCAATACAGTAAGGAAACTCTTGAAACATATGTGTCATGAATGCTGCTTAAAGGCATCTGACTGCTTTTGCTGGCAACGAAAATGAAGCTAAGTTTAAATGGGAGATTGGTTCTTTAAAGAACAAGAGGATGTATTTATTCATTATCATCTGTTTCCATGTTTGTCTTCAGACAAAAAAAAATTCTGTATGGGTGTCTGTACACTTTCTATATGGCCTATGTTCAGAACATTTCACCTCTTATGTTCTTGGAGGGCAGAGATGGCACTTGGAAAATATGGTAGAGAAAATGTCTAGAGAAACCTTTTGCTGCCAGGAGGAGAAGAATTGTATTCTGTGTTTTAGAGAATACTTGGTGTTGGACTTCTTGGCATCATTTTGCAGTTCTGCTGAACTCTGACACCCTTCACTGTGTGCAGCACTGCTAGTGGACCCTGACTGCTGAGCTTCTTTCTTTAAGGAGAAAGCTGTGTGTAAAAGATGCTTATTTGAGCTGTTCTGATGAATACTGTTTTCTGCCCCTCGTATTTAAAGCTGATCACTTATAAACCAAAGTAGAAAAGCAATGATGAAACACTTCAGACACTTCTAAAAAAGTCCTCAGGTCTTGATACCTATGCCTGTGTCAGGGCAAAAATTAAGCATTGCACTATTAAGTGGACTAAATTTTGGCTTTCCAGAAGCATAAAGCAGGAATTTCTAATTGGTGTCAGTTAGAAACATTGATATCAAAGCTACTGCTATCTTAGTGTTTGCACACAGAACTGGAGAGAGATCTATTCAGGAGCAGAGGCAAGAATAATAAGATATTTTTGGCCTAATTGTGTTTGCAGGAGCAATAAGGAGCATACAGTCCTTGTTTTCCATATCTATACCTAATTGCCATTTTGATGTGATGAGCAAGGGATGGAAAGGCTGTACCCAGTATTTAAAGAAATGTCATCATTACTGTATATCTAAAAGAAATGTATAGTTTAAGGCTTAGATAGTGCTACAATGTACTCTGTTATTATTGCAGAGCTAGCTGGAGCTCTTTTTCCTCTTTAGATTCTAGAAGTGCATCCCTTCCTTTATTCCAGAGCAGAGACATTACTTCTGGGAGGGAAAGATTTCTCACCTTGTCCAGCTGTTGGATTGGATCCTGGGTACATCCTGTCCTGGCCCTGCTCATCCTAAAAACATAATAGGCTTTGGCTCTCATGGTTCCGCCCATTGGAACACTGGGATCAGGACAGCATTTGTAAAGCTAAGGTTTGATTTTGTTCCTCAGCAGCTTTTGAAGATTTCTTCCCTTGTGCTGTTATTTCTCCATTTGCTTAAAATAAATCCCTAAATATGTCAGACACAGTAGTTGTAAATTATTACTGAACAGTGTTATCTGCTCTGTTATCTGGATATGTAACCATATCCAATAGCAGATGCTTAGGAAAGGGCATAAGAACCAGGCCAGTTTAAGTTGATTGTTTGTTGATACACAACACCAGCTTCCAAAAACCAGCTCTTTAGAGACTCTGAACTGCAGGTTGTACCCAGACAATTCTTTTGCAACTGTTCATGGACCCCTTCTTCATGAATTTGTCTAATAATTTTTGAGCTCACTTCGTACTGCTGGTCTCAACATTCTGTGACATGAAATGGGGAAATAATAATAAAAAAAAAAAATCCATACCATCCACGGGACACTCCTGAGAGCATTTTGAAAGATAATTCTGTTTTAGTCCACCTGTATACAACAGTGGCACGTGATGGGCGGCGTGACATAGTGGTTCATTCTGGGTCCTCCCTCTGGGACTCAATGTGTGGGGACTTCTTGAGCATCCCCATGCCAACATCACCACTGCTGCAGGTTTATCAGGGAGAGTGGTTGATCTCAGTCTGCTGTAGGTGGCATTCTTGGGTATTTTGCCTTCAGTGCATTTATCCTGAATTTATTTATTAAGGACAACTCTTCCATCTTAGTGGCAAGGGCTTTACTAATGGTATTTTGTTTTTGTGCTTTATTTTTTTTATTTTTTCTTCAAAAGCAATGTAACATTTGTGGGAAGGGGCAGGTTTTTATTGTCATTGGTATTGCACTGAACATGCTGTCTTTGCTTACTGATCAAAAGTAATACCTTAATACCTAATCCTAGAACTTTTTATCTGAGCTTATGTGTGGAGTGAGTTTATTGCTGGTTGTTTTTTTTTTTCCCTAATGATTGGCAATTTTAAGGGGGCTAGATATGAAATAAATGATTATAGCAGTCTGGAGTGTGCTGTCCTGCAAATTTCTAAGGTATCAGAGTATTTTATTACTTTAAAGAATTGAGCTGCTTACAGCACAGATGTGTTCATGCTTAATGCAATTAGGTACATTTCCCAGAATGTTAATTTAACAAAACCTTTTGCTTTGACCTGGAAAAAAAGGATAAATAAAACATGATGCTGCTTGCTCCGTACAATCTCTTCCTCCTTCCACTTTAAGCCAGCTCCAGTTTATTCAGACAAAACGTTAAGGAAGCTTTGGATTCTTTTTCTCATAAAAACAGAAAGGAAATCCTTTGGATTCTATTCTGAAGTGGGGAAATAGGAAAAGGAAGCATGTGTGCACTGTGTTATCAGTGCCGCTGTATGTGGTGAGTTAAACAACTGGATTGGAGTAATACATTTGTTTAACCTCCCAGCATAACGAGCTGCCAGGGGGATTGCTCCACTTAATAGCAGCCGTTCATTACTCTGCAAGCATTTGCAGCGTGTTATTTCTCTTATAGCAAAGAGAATTGGCGGTTCCTAGTTTTAGCTTTCTTTATCTGTGACACTTAAATGTCAACAGCCTTGAGATTTTGCCAAAACAATCCTAGCAAATCCTAATCCCAGTGTTTCAAGGTAAGTATTTGCTTCTCAGAATTCTTCTGTATTAGTGCTGCATGTTTACACTGGACAATTTTAAATGCAAGAGTGATCAAAGAAATATTTGAACTGAACAATGTGTTTATTTTTTGTTCTCTGAGGGCACTTTGCATGTTCTTTATTCTTAACTTTCACTACCACAGCTATGGAATTTGTGATAGGAAGCATTTTGGGGTGGTGATGGAACTGCCATTATATTATAAGGATCATCAGACCAAAATTAATTATGAAACAATGAGAATTTTATTAATAATGTCACCGATGTAGTTGGATGTGCCAGGCTGTACATTAAAATGTCAAAAGTTTCAAAATTAACCTCCAGCTGAAGCCACCACCTACCCAAGAGCATAATTAATGCTTGTTGTTGTTCAAAGGGTGCAATGTAAAAGCAATAGAGCTTTTTTAAAACAGAGATCAATTCTTGCTTTAAAGGCATCCCGTCTGCAAAAACTAGCTGAACTGTCAAGGGAGAAGAGAAATTTTTGCTAATGGCAAAAGAAATGATTATTTTAGGGAGTGAATTAATAGGTTATTAATGAGCCTTGTTCCCTGTGCATTGTTCACTTCACACTTGACAGCAGCTCCATGGATCAGGATGGAATGTGTCTGTTCTTAACTGTGAGTTTTAATATTTTGCACTGAAAGATCATAATGTTGCTTCATCATTAAGAAAACTACAAAATTAACTTTTGCCCCAAGGGAAAGACAGATGGCAGTTTGATGGCCTCATTATTCTTTTTTTCTTTTTAACAAGAGTAAGGTTTTATATTAGCTTATATAATCCAAAGAGATCTCTTAAGAAACTGATGCTAGCTAGAAGAGTAAAAAATATATAGCCATACAGTGCCATGAATTTTCAACTTTCTAACAATATTTGTTGTAACAAAATTTCAGGTATATATCTATTTCTTTTTCCTTCAGTAGGAGTAGAACCAATGATTGCTCCCAGTAAGTAAACTTGGCTCTCTAAGGCCAGAAGTAATCCTACTAATGTAATAGAGCTAACATTTTACCCACAGCTTTTACAGCTATGCATAGGCGGATCATCACAGGTTGAGGCCTCGATATGTAACACGTGATGGCACAATTTTATCATACAATTAAAGGACAGTGTGTGTAATGATTAGAAGAAGTGAACAGCCACAAGGTCTCCAGTGAATGCATTGTACAGCTTTGGGTGATGTTCTTACCACACGTGCACCCAGCATGCCCATTCCTAATGGAGCACATCATTAGGTACTTCCTACGGATGCCCAATACTTTGGAGAATCTAGCTAAATAAGAATTTAACTGCCTCTCAGGGAATTAAGTAGTACCCACAGAGGACTTTGAAATAAGGGGAAAAGGCAAGGCTGATTACAGTCCCTCTCTTCAGTTCAAGCAGGAATTCTGTTTCTTGTTTGTTTACTTTCTGTATGTGATTTAAGCACAATTCACATATTTATTTTACCATCTGAAAAAGCCATGTGATAATATGAAAGGGAGTATGTGTTCTCTGGGGCATTCTTGATACCACATTTGCCACTCCACGTGCAGGAGCCTGTCAAACAAATTATGGCATGAACTGAACACGTATGGTATTTGTGGTCATCCTTATGTGGGACCATTAAAACTGGGTTCAAAACCTCTGCAGTGGAGGAATGGGAGAGAAGGAAAATGGTGCCTCCATCAATGCATTTCCTGTTATGCTGTGTTCTATCATTTTATTCTAATGTGAGGTAGGAAGAACACGTTTCATTAAATCTTGCTGGTTCCAAGATTTTTTCTAGTCCCAAAATCTTAGATTTGGGAAAGTGACCTCAAGAGGAAGGTGTCTAATACTCTGGCTGTGGAGACCCAGTAATATCTGTGGTGCCTAACACATGGAAAAGCCTCTCCAGAACTGTTAAAATAGCCTTACTACTTACGTTTGATGGTAGAATGGCACAGACCTTCACCAACACTGCAGAAGAACTGACTTTTTTGTCTCAAATGCAGGCCACTTTGGCTCACTGACTATGATCCCAAATCTGTGGTCAGTGCTGTAGCTTTTACTGCAAATTGAGGAAAAGGAAATAAAATTACCTCCTGAAATGAAAGTTGATGTCCGTGGACGGAATGTAGTCTTAGCACAGGTGACATGCATTGCAGGCAGAGAGATTTGAGACTGATGCCTTTGGCACTATGTAGGATTTGCACAGGCACATCTGACAGCTCAGTATGTCTATATGTCTATACTGTATTTCCCACTGCCAGATTGATGGACAAAGTGAAAATCCAAACTGGAGTAACAGTTGAGAAAAATGCTAATTAAATCTAGGAAATGGGTCTCAAATTCAATTCTAAGTCTTAGGCCCCTAGCAGAAAAATCAGTATAAAATTGACAACTAATTCAGATGCAATCAGAAAATTTCTTTTTGTCTTGATTTATTTTGTAATAAGTACTACTTACTGTATTGTAGTCAAAAAAGGATTTATTCAGTCGATTATCAAGGGTAATGAAACACCAATGAACTATGGAAAACTGCATATTGAAATGACACAGATCTGCATAATTCTTAAGGCTGCTTGTATTTACTTCATATGGATGCTAGCAGAGACCAGATTTCAGTTCAGCCACGTGTTCCTGGATGTAAGGCAGCTTAGGAAAGTCACATAGATAAGTAGATTTGCTTTGTTTTGCATAGCAGTGTTTCTGACAGTGACAAATCACGAGACATTAGCATGTGCATTTTGCTAAAAATGTCATTGTAGAGGCTTCAGTAAATAGGCTATTCCATTTCTTTTGCAGCCACACTTGTAAATCCTTTTCCTTCTTAGTACGTGTAAGATGACTTTACATTATGATATTTGAAGGGCAAGTATGTTAAGTTTAAATGGGACAGATTTACTGCCATAAAGTATTTAGCATTGTAAAGTAACAAGTTTCATCCACTTAATAAGATTCAGATCTGACATTTCTTCTTTCTAAGTAAAATTATCTGATATTTTCTGAATAAAATGATGAAATTTCTGGTCAGAATTGTATTTCTCCGGGTGTGACTTAATGGAAGTTAGAAGGGTTGACATCAAAGATAGACGTAAGTACAATATTCTACATGCTTAGATTTCCCCTTCGTTGTAGGGAGTTAAAAATCTGGATCCCTTGGAGTGGTCAAAGGATGGCAATTTTTGTAAATCACAGAAGAATAACCTAGGCACCTCCTTTTCTAGTTTTCAGTTTCAGTAGGGGTACTGTGAAGCTTCTGGAAATGGTATTGGATTACAGTAGATACTCTCATGACCTCGTGACTCAACTACTTCTTCAACAATAGCAGAGTTGTCTAAACCATTACAGAAACAGCAGTATTTTGCTTCTAAAACCTGGTTAACTAACTGTTTTTATTTCCTTTCCCAGCCTTCAGCACCATTAGGCGTTGTGGGCTTTGCAAACGATTTAGAAATGGAACTACCTTCAAGATTATCGAGGTCGGTCGACCCCCAGGTGCAAGGCACAGCCACTGTGGCACTTGGCCCATCCCCAAACACCCGCCGTGACTGTGATACTCCACCAGAGCCAGTGCCCAGCTACAGTTTGGCACTGGGAAGAGCTCCGGTTGAGCTGAACCCTGGGGTTTCTACTGCCCTCACACCAGGTGATGCGCATCAGGGCAGCGCGAAGTGCAAGGTAGGAATCACTCAAAACTCCTCTACTGAAATGGAATCCATTTTCATTGATAGCACACATTGTAGTTACTCGTGTAAAAACAGCTGTTCAGTAAAGTACGGTTTTCTTCTGGTACTTAAAGACTGATTACATGTTATTTTTATTAAGAAAATTAATAATTAGGTTTAATATTTTTTCCTCTGAAGCTGGAAAATGAAGACTTCAATTCTGTGGATCATCAACCAGAAAACAGCTTGGCTACAGCTGGGCAAGATGTAGTGAATGAATTAAGTCTTTCTATGCAAAACGTTCTGGAAGAACCTATTAATCTTTCTGTCAAAAAATCTCAGCGTTGTACTTCTCCTTCTGAACTGCTCAGCAACAATTCTCTTCTTCCTGTGAAAGCCAGGATAAGATCACTTAGAAATGAAGAAGGTACCAGGCTTTTCATTGTTTCGTTTAGGTTTGGGGTTTTTCTTTCTTGTTACTGTGCATTACAAGCATTGCAAAGCAGTTTGCTTATTAATGTACTTTCATAAATGTGCTTCCCCAGCAAGCTTTAATTATCAAGTACTTAATCCAATGGAAAAGTCTTTGATCTCATTTGTGGAGAAAAACTTGAAAACGATATGCCTTGAATCTGTAACATCCTTCAGCTCTGAGCCAGAAACGTGTGCATCTGTGTGAAGTACCTGGAGTATTAGTTCTCTGAGAAACACTCCTGTTAATGAGACCTGCAGTTATGACTATTGAAGAGCTGGTTTGGAGAGTCCAAATTCAATTAAAAAAAAAAAAAAAATTACTTCTGAAATGTGATGTGCCTTCTGCTAAGTCCTTCACGTCAGTAGCAGAGCAAATTTTTGTGAGGTTAATATATTGCTTTTGCTTGGCTCTGTCTACTGTGGAACATTCCCTTCAGCCAAGGCCTATTTCTTTAGTCTTAATAGGGAATTAGACCTTATTTAACTCTTTACATGGGCAAATTGCCAGCATCCTTGTGCTGCACTGTACAGCCTCATTCCTGCAAACTCTAAAAGTCAATGGAACTATTCATGCAAGCAAGGGATTTCGGGATCAAGCTGCTATTCTGTGACTTATGCCAATATTTGGCTGCATTTCCCTGTAAAAGATGAATTAATATTTCTATCTCCATGCTGTATTTTTATTCAGAGAATTCTAATTAGTACAAAGACGACGTAGTTCAGTGAGCCAAGTAGATGAGTTTGTCTTCTCTTAGATGTACTATGCCAAACTGTGACAATTATGCCACAATCAGTTGTGTGAGTAGCAAGGATCATCTGTGTGCCCCTAAAAAGCTGTGCCTCACTCAGGCTTAAGTCTTTTGGAGATGAGCAGTTGTGTAACGTCTGGGCTCTGCAGTTACTGTGCAGCCCAGGGCTGAATGCAGCATTACAGCTGAGGCCTCTGGGGCACTGAGCAAAGCAGCTCCTGTGTTTTACATTCCTCACTACAGATAGTGGGCAGAGTTTGCCATTTTTCTGCAGCTTCATTACATGATTAACCTGAATAGTATGACATTAACCCTTAGTTATTTCTACAAAACAGCATTCATCTGTTATTTTCCTATGTTAATTCATTCACCTTCCTTCAGAAACATGGTACTTGGAGTTGGTCTCAGTTCATTCTTGCTGAGGTAGGAGGTTTTCCTTGATGTATTAAGATAATTTTTGAATTTTTAACATTCTTCAAACTGCTTGCAACTTCTCTGGGTTGATGTCTTCCACAAATTTTTATTAGTATGTTTCCTCATAAACCAAGTAGCTAATGGAAAAGTTGATTAATACTGGGACTGCAGCACCACTGGAACATCCTCTGTTTTGGCAAAGGGCAGCAAGAACTTCAGATCAGTATTCAGCCATGCTTTAGTAATTCTTCCCGGATCCTCATCTACTAAATTTCAACTTAGCAACAGTTGTAGGTGAATGACATGAAATACACTTCTACTTGTTAGTCTTGTTTTGTTCCCAGTGACTGAAAACAGTGATAGAGTATCATGAAGGTACATTGCTATTACTCAACAGGATAGGGACCACTGACCCCAGCTTTAAAAAAGAGTGTTTTGGTAGCACTTACTTGTCTCCAGATAGACATATTTGCTTTATTTTCTTGTTAATATTATCCATGTCAAAATAATTCGTAACAAACTTGTCATGGGTGATGTCAGTGGACTGCTATACACAAGAGCATTTGTTGGAGCATTCAGCCCTGCCCCTATTCCATTCCTGCCCCTGTTCCATCTCTTCGAAGTTGTTTCATTGCCTGTGTCTAGTGTTGGTCAAGAGTTGTGGTTATTTACATGCTTATATAATGGATAGTTTTGAATTAATATGTTTTTATGTTACGTATGCTGGAGGGTATAAAGGATCATATCAAGAGGCAAATGAGAGTCAGAATTTCATTCCTGTTTTTGAGTAACTGGAATTATCCAGAAGCTTCTAAGCATGCAGCAGGAGACTGCAAAGATTTCCTGAGCCTCAGACTGTGGGTCTGCTTTTGTCAAGTGAGTGCTGTATAGCAAAGAGGATTACTTATGATGTTTGCTGTGTATGCCTATAATTCCAAGGGAATGTAACCAATTGAGCAAAATGTTTTGGAAAGGCTCTTCGTATACAGTACAGAAGTTGTAGTTAAGGCAAAGACAAAGAATGTTCCCCAGAATAGAAAATAGCACACACATTTAATATACATACTGATGGAATGATCACATAATTCACTTATGTTATCATATTAAACACCAGTCAGAAGTACATGAATATTAAAGTATGTTCTACCCAAATCTGACTCTGATACTATAAATATTTTATTTTTTCTTCTTTTCTGTTCCAGATTCCAATAACTGTGAAAAGGAACATTTTGAAATGGTTATGAAAGGCAATCAGAATGTCAGGTAACAGTCTTTTTTTATACAGCAACACTGGCCATGGAATTTTATTCACGTATTTAGAAAATTTCTCTTACTTCATGCTAATGGAAAAGTTGTTTTAAGAAGAATGCAAGGCTCCTTATAGATAATAATTCTGAAAGTTGAAAACAACAGCTTAAAAGAAGTGATGTGTTCATGCATGCCCGTTATTCTCTTGTGATTTTCAGAATATATAAATATTTGAAAATATTTCTCATTTGAGCAACTGTAAACTGTTTAGTCCCATTTAAAGCCAAAAAAAGTAAATTGGGAACAGGATTAATATTACGTTGAGAATTTTAATAAGTTTTGTTTTTGTCTACTGCTGTGCTAATATCTTAAGGTTGAATGTTATGCTGAGTTCTTATTTGAAAAGCATCAAACATGCCTTGGGTAGTATGCCAGTGTATATGGGGAAAGAGCAGAAGGTACTGATGCTTTTGCACACATGATTAAATGAAAGTGTTTGCACTCTGATTTCATAAAGAACTGGCATTTAAAAATCCTTTTAACCAGTTAACCCTTTAGTCAACTTTTAGCCACCAGAGCCACAGTTAATGAAGGAAAAAGAGAAGAATAGTACATGAAAAATGTTGAAAATGAGTAGGGAGGAGAATTTTGTGGAATGTGATTGAATTTAACCATTTGTTATTTTAATAGTAGTGCTTGCCCTGGAGAGCCAAAGATCCCCTTCGTGAAACTGGAACGTCTGAAAATATGTGCATCAGAATCTGGGGAGCTACCAGTTTTTAAGCTCCAGCCACAGGAGAGTGGGCAGGAGGGCAATTTTCTCCTAATAATTGAGCATGGGACCCAGTCTTCAAGTATGGCTATAAAAGTGAGTGGGATTTGCTTGAAGTTTTACCTGCTTTCTCCCTGTTGTCTTGCTGACTTGTAGTATTCAGAGTTCCTGAAAGTCATTATACACTTAACACAAGTTTCTTGATTCATTTCATTTTTAATACGTCTGTGATGGGCTGAAGTAAGAGGATGCAGCTTTTGTTTGCTGTGTAGCTTCCTGTTACTTCCATTTCTGAGAAGTCCACCTCTGAGATCAGATAGCTGTAGCATTTTTGTGTTTTAACAGCCTAAATTGTCTGTCAAATTACAAACATAGGATAAATAGCTTGAAACTGGCCTGAATCCTTGTTCAGGCATCACAACATGAGTGATAGGAACCAATTCCAGAAATAACAGTTACAGATTTTTAAAAGCTTAATATTCTATCACTTCCCCAAAGTCTTAAAAGTGAACTTCTTTCCACATCTCTGTCTGTGCTATAACACAATGGTATGTAAAGGAAATGACTTGACCTGGCCAACCAGTGGCCGGTGCTGAGCTGAGCATTGGCCTGCCAAACCCCAGTGTCCTCTGCAGAAGAGTTCAATGTAGAGAAACTTTCTTTTTTTTTTCTTCTGCAGATAGCTGCTGCTGTTCTATATGTTCTGTGTGAAAGTGTTGATTGTGTTATCCCAGATTTTTCTTTCTTCAAGATAAATAAAGGTGGTTCACCAGAAGGACTGAAATCCAAAGAGGAGAACACAGATGACAGAAAATTTCTCCTAACCCAGGCTGCAGGACAAACAAAACCTCCTCCTGCAGATATTCCATCTGTCGATCAGAAGCTCATCAATGGTACCTCCATCATGAAGAAATCTCCAGTTACTCAGGAAGTCAATACAATTGAGAATGAAGACTTCTGTGCTGTGTGTCTTAATGGAGGAGAACTGCTGTGCTGTGATCATTGCCCCAAGGTCTTCCATCTCTCCTGCCATGTTCCAGCTCTGCTCAGCTTTCCAGTGTGAGTATATGTGGCGTTTTGCTCTCTTTCTGGTTATTTCCTTGGGGTAGAATGTAACCTTGTTATGTATAGGGACGTATGTGTCAACCTAACAGGAAGGTAACTGCATCTCTTTCTTACTTTTTAAATTATTTTCTTACAATTGGAAGAATTGTCTTACTAAGAACTAGATGAAATATTAACAACTATTCCAAGCCATGTGTGCCTTCTATAAAGTTAGCTGGCCACTACAATGAAGGAGATGGCAGACACCTAGAGCTTTAAAAACATTGTTATGTCTTACTGGAGAAAAATAAGATTCTAACTTTCATGCAACATCTGTTGTGTAGATGTCAGCTCTTCCTTGTGTGAGCAAAGGCAATCATTGACCTCCTTCTTGTTCAGTTTTCCAGCCAGGCTTAGGGGAAATTTAGGATTAATGGATATTTTGGCAGTGTTTATTTAGAGCATAGATTTCCAAAGACTTTTAGTCCTTAGTGACTTCACGTAGATGAATTGTATGTGACAATGATACAGACTTTGTTACACGTCTACATACCAAACTTCAGAAGTAATATGCGGTACTGGTGTTGTGTCATTCTGAAGTCAGCTACAAATCATTTCTAGGTGGGTCCAAAGACTACTTTGTTTGTGCTAAGGCCAAATAACAGTCTCTGCTGTGCAAATACCTTGTGGGATATTACTTTGGAGGCTGTAGTTCGTTCTATCGGTTCAAAAAGTAGTAAGTTCCATGTCTTGGCTTTTCCCTCTTTTCTGTAAGAGCTGAGTCATCACTAACCTCTCATTTTAAAGCACTGTGAAAAAAAGGTTTTCCTTGTAAAATAAGCTTCCGAGGCAAATTTTAATTTCTAATGAAATATATTACTCTTGCTAACTAAACTTCTGTATTCACAGTTCTGTAATAGACATACGTCTGGTCCTGATGTTGCGGAAGTCTGGCACTCTCCTCATGACATTCTTCAAGGGGTTTCTGAAAATAGACCTACTAGGAACAGTGCTCAGGCTCATGCAGAATTATGTCTATAATTATGTCTACTTGTTTGGGGACCCCACATGCTTGTGCACACTAACTTTTGTGATAATGCTATTTTCCTTGATATTCCTTGTTTATTTCCTTGATATTTATTGTCTAATGGATCAAGTTTTGTCTTATGTTCCTATTGTTGGCTGTTTTTTCACATTGCTGGCTGTTAATTTCTTTATTTTATTTGTTTTCAACAGCAATTTGATGAATGCAGCTACACATATTTTGGTTATATGATTTCAAACGCTACCTATTTTTTTTTTTTTGTCTGTAACAAAAGCAGTGCAATAAGTAAAATCTCAAATGACTGCATTTTGAGTTGTATTCCAATACCTTCAAGAGCATCTAATAGAATGGGCTTGAGATTTAAGGTTATCTGCAGTTGTAATATGTGTTAAAAATGAGAATTTAAAATATAGTGATTTCTGGTGTTTGTTGTTTGACAAAGTGGCCGACCAATTGTTACAGAGATTCTTGGTTTCTTATTTTGCAGGGGAGAATGGGTGTGTACACTTTGCCGTAATCCAATGAAACCAGAGGTAGAATACGACTGTGAAAACACGCGCTATGCTCATAGTTATCATGCACAATACGGCCTTGATGACTATGATCAGAAGGTGGGAATAACTACATCTTGTTACTATATAGGAAAGGACATATCTCAGCTCGAGACTTTGTCTCTTCATTGGAAAGTCGACTGTTTTGAGTTAGTTGCTCCTAGAGTGTTTCTGAGGATAGAAAATACAACAGAAGAATTGTTAATATTCACTTATATCGTTCTGTTCTTTCTAGAAAATTGTTGTTTAATTCAAAATGAATGTGCTGCAATAGAAAAATGAACGAGGAAGTCACATTCGGCGGCAGAGCATGCTTCTCTGTGTCAACTGTGCCTGGCACTGTGCCACCAAATCTTTTTCTTTCAAGACTTGGCACACTCTCAGACATCTGCTTAGGCCGATTGCAAGGACATTTTCTGATGCGGGCACTTTCTGACTCTCACTGAATCACAGTCAACTTATTGACTTCATACTGAACATTAATCGCCTTTAGGATGACATCTAGGCACTGCTAAACCAGCACAGAGGAAATTTTATCCTTTTGTATCTTCATTACCAGTTTTCTCTTCCAAATCTCTTACTAAAACTACCGTTTTTTAAAGTCTGTTTGATGCTAGGAAGCTAAAGCTCCAAACAGATGTCCTGTGTATATTAGTGACAGCTGGACAGAGATACTGATTTCACACTGCTGAGTGCAGTTGCTGAGCTGGCACTGCACAAATGAAACCTAGGATTAGGCACTGTACTTAAGGGCATCAGCAATGATTCTGAGAGCACTGCAGCAAGGCCTATGAGCCACAGCACCACACAATTTCATCTGTGATCATTCCAGACCTGAGCTACATAAAGAGCTGGATGTGACTTCTGAACGTTTATGTGATTCCTGTTTGCAATGCAATGGGTACAACTGACCAGAAATAGTTGTGGTCTGGGTGTTGATTTGTGAAGATCTTTTTAGAAAATGGAGTTGGTTAGAAACTGTGTTAGTGAGGAATTCCCAAGAGTTTCCAGGAAGGACATGTGCGTACAAAATATGTTACATAAAGCTTTTCTTTTCTTTTTTTTTTTTTTCCATTTCTTTTACCATTCTCAATTTCTAAACTATAAATGGCAACAGCGCATAACATCCCCCAGGTTAGAATGAAGCATGCCATTTTGCATCAAAAGTGTAAAGATTATGTAAAAACTCCCCTTGTTGTTAGTTGGATTAACTAAGAACAAGGACGAAACTCATTTGTTTTGAATTAAAATATATTTCAAATTTGGCTTCTACAGAAGTGTGAAAAGCTGGTGCTTTCCCTGTTCTGCAGCAGTATGAGCCTCCCATTCCATGAACCAGTCAGCCCCCTGGTAAGTACTGAGCACCTCTATGTCAGAGGGAAGCCAAAGATTATTCTGGCACACGTCATGAATTAGACAATTCAAAGAATTGCAAGAATTAGATTCATGCAATTTTAACAGTGAAACTGAAAGTGGAACAAGTTAGAGGAGCAAAATAAGAGAAAAAGAGTAGGTAAACATGAAGGAACTGTGCAAATAACAAGATAAAAACCATTCCACCTAATAAATCTTGCACTGATCTAATAGAATTACGTAACGTTATGTAACAAGTAAGTTTTGATTCAGAAAGATTTATGGAGGGAGAAATCCTCGTAGTTGGTGCCATTGAAAAAGACTTTTGTTGACCTTTAAGAAGAGCACCTAGTGGTATATTTTCAGTCATTCTTGGCAGACTGGTTCCCACAGTATCAGCTTCCAGAACCTCAGCACGTTATTTTTATGAAGGCCTGGGGGAAATGGCAGCCGATTATCAGTGTTACATATATTATTGATTATGGTTAAATGATGACATTTCTATCTGGGGATAAACTTTAGGAAGTGCAAATAGCACAGTAGTCATTGAAGTGTGTTATTTTCAAGACCAATCTTGCAAGCAAGCATCATTTAATCAAACCTAAAGGTGCACAGGAAGAGGGTGTGCAATGTAGAGACCAGAGCTCTCTTTTTGCTGCAAGGAATCCTTTGCAGTGACTTCAATCCAAGCTTGGATAGAAGTCGCTGGAGAGAAAATGTTTTAATTAAAAAGGTAACAAACCTGTATTTTATTCTTATTGCAGGCTAGACATTATTATCAGATCATCAAAAGGCCAATGGATTTGTCAATCATACGAAAAAAGCTGCAAAAAAAGGATAAGTTCCACTATTCTGCACCTGAGGAACTTGTGACTGACGTGCGTCTCATGTTTTGGAACTGTGCAAAGTTCAATTATGTAGGTTTCTAATATACATGGGTGAGGGAATACAACATGGAGTGTTGCACTTTAAAGCTGTCACAATGGCGTAGCACTATTGGTTCCATTGACATTGGGTATAGGGTTGGGATAAGCAAGAGGATTAATCAATTTTACTCCTTGGAAAGTACACTTTTTTTTTTTTTTTTTGATGACAGAAATGGAGATAACGTGCATCTGAGAGCTGGAGATGCATATGGGTTTAAAATTGAAGAGGATATTTTAACTGACAGCTTTCTAGAGTGGCGCTGAGTTTACTGTGAGAAACCATCTGTATCCAGCAGAATAGCTAGGAAAATTCAGGTGCATAGAAATTCATAAGTGATGGCAAATGCTATTCTTTCTAGTCCACTGCACATCTCTTTCCTTAGAGGTGCAGAATCATCTCCCTTAATAGCAGCATCTGGTTTTTACTTACTTTGTAAATGCAGAGGGACGACTAATGGCCTGTAGAAAGAGTGCAGGAGACTAATGGAGACAAAGCAGAGAGAACCAAGACAAGACATTAAGAAAAGGCGAGCGTTTATTTCATCCTTGATGGTTTCTGTGTGCAGTAAGACTGAATGGTTATTTATTCTCTTACAGCCGGATTCAGAGGTTGCTGAGGCTGGACGATGTCTAGATGTATTCTTTGAGGGCAAACTGAAAGAGATTTATCCGGATAGGCACTTCCCCTCAGTGCAACAAGATGACAGTGACTGTGAAGAGCTGGAGAACCAGAACAGCAAAATGCCCCCCCAGGATTTTCACTGGCCATCACACGAACAGGAGTGGGTTCAACCTAAAAAGAGGCGATGCCACGCTGTAAGATTGCAAAAACAAAAGCATTTGGTTGCTAAGTGGCCACCCTGCTAATTCTGTTTGCAGCTACTGATGGGAAGTTTTGACAGTGCTGTGTGGGAAAACTGTCAAGCTTCTGTCACAGAGATGTGATCAGTTCTGCAGTTTTATGTCAAGATCCTCTCGGTGGGATAAAGTGTCAGTTGTGTGTAAGAGCGTGAGAGCGAACAAGTGAAGTCTCTCAGGCCATGCAGTTATCTTCCTAGCAGAAAACTCTGTCAAGTTTTTGATTTTTTTTAAAGACTAAGCCCTCTATCTATTCACTGTTTGTTTCCTTTGTGCACAGGAAAGCGACAAAACTAAAAGAATGACGTTTCAGACTGCTAACAGCCTTCCTCAGGTGTGACCTCCTGAAGATACCTGATTTGCTAAGAGGAATCCAGCAGAATAACTGACAGAGTTAAGGTGTGTGGGAGGAAAGCAAAGCACTCGGGCTGTTAATTTATCTTCTCCTACTCTGCTGACCATATGCCTTATTTGTAGATCTTGTGGATAGATAACAGATCGGGAGTGTTTGATTCTGTCCATATTTCATCTGTTAAATCACGTGTACGTTTCGCAATGTTTACACAGAAGTACTGACGTTTTGGTGATAGATAATGATTAATAATAAAAGTAACACGCTAAGAATATTTAAAATTGCAGTACCACTTCGTAATCTGTTCAACATGACATCTCTATTTTATAGAACACGGGTAACCATGTAATAATCTTATAATGACAGTGTGAATATCGGCCGTGCTTTGTGATAAATACAATGTGTGGTCATAAGACATAATCCTGTTGTCTTATTCAATGATGTTTCTGGGAGCTTGACTGCTCGAGGCCTGTGGGATACAGTCTAATGTGATTATCTGATTAGCTGTTTCTTTTGAAGCAGAGCATTCTCATTAAATGACTAAAGAGCTACTGCATTATGTGACACAGCTCCGTGCGAGCTGCTGCTGAGTGCACGCTGGATGCTCGGTTTGCAAGGAATGGTTCTCCTGGTATTTAATTCATGCTCTGTAAGGCAGAGCAGAATTTTTGGGATCCTCAAAGGCAGCATTACTGCACAACCCAGGCCAGATGTTTTTCTTTAAAGCAGATCACTTTAGTAAGTTCACAGTGGAGCAATTTACGTGGTTATAGAAGTGCCTGTAAAATAACATCATGTACCCCGATTTTCTCTTATTCCTGTTTATTTCTTGTAGACGTGATGATTAGCAGTGCTAGAAGATGATGATAATGTGTATGTGTAGAAGTTCATACAGGATGAAAGGATGCCTAAGCTTTTGTTGTCCTAAATTCTGCATTGTATTGGCAGAACAACTCCAAGGGCTGAAAGAGAACTTAAGAGTTTACTGGAGCAAAGGATAGAATGTAATTTGTAAAGCCTAAGGTGCAGAATAGGTAACAAAACATGGTGCCTGATCAGAGTAATGGTATGCAAGCTACTTTCCACCTCTTCCAGGAGCAGATGAGCCAGATATTCACTTGCCAATGCTTTATCCCCACGTATGTGAGGAGCATCTCCCTCTATAGAGCTCTGCCTAGCAGCTTAAGGCTGGGCTGTGCTTTGGCTCTGAGAGAGAAATAGCTTGTTGCAGATCTCATACCCAATTAGAATCCATTGTAATTAGTGTCCTGTAAATAAAGATGATATTTTCAGCATAGGTTATAATGGGCTATTTGGTCTGGTAACCATTATGTTATTTTAGATAACACTTTAAAGTAAAGGTTTATATATGAAACAGTAAGATGTGAATGTTCTGCTGTCTGTGACTTACTGTTTGCCATTAACCTGATGTTTTCTTTTCTTTGAAAAAATAAAGTTCTGGATATTATAAGCTGACTGGAAAACTGTGAGATCAAAGTGTGAATTCTTGCGTGCTTGCTTTCTGTCAAATCCGTGTTCTCAAAGCAGTAACTATCTTGGCACAACTGAATTAATCACCCTTATCTGTGTCTCCTTTTCTCAGCTGGGAATTAATTCTGCTGCTAAAGACTGATCTCTGAGTATTAGTGGCAGAAGAATGATACGCTGTATAGCTTTCAGCTGGTGGCAAAGGTGGGAATAGGAAAGACTCATCACTTTTTTTTTTTTTTTCCTGGAAGAGTTGAATGAACAAGAACCTACTTCTATTTCATAAAGACTGTCGAATTATAAGCTGTATCATTAGTTTTGGAAAATGCCTGTTCTAATCAAATGTATCCAAGATATATTTTCCCTTGATTAAAAATAGAAGTGCACTAGTTTGTCATCATATATGAGATATTGGTCAGGATAAGTTCTGGCAGGGCACTATGGCCTGAGCACTCTTACGCCTGACTTGTTTTTCTTGGGATTACTTCTTTCAGGCATAGCAACAGTTTCAAAAAGTATTTATGGTCTACAAATCATGCTGGAAAGGAAAACAAAAACTGAATCTGTAAGCATGACTTCACGTACTTTCATGCCCAAATCTGTGGGTGAGCAGCTTCAGAAAGCATTGCGTGTTGTAAGCATAACATTATCCTTTCCAGAAGTTGCCCTAGGATTGCTGGCTTGATATGTTTCTTCTGCTAAGCACCATACAACCAGGGCCTATAAATTCACGGGGAGTTTACTCTACTGAAACCCAATTATGCAGTGGTACGTGATAAGGTGTGAAAGGAAAGGATCTTCCTTTTTGAGTGTACTTGATCAGAAGAAATAATAATAATAATAATAATAATAATTAACAAGAATATTCCATTGGCAAAAACATCAGTCAGACAATGCAAGTGTTTTCCTGATTGGTTCCTCTTTGTTTGGTTTATGGGAATATAAAACCACTGGCAACAACTTCCTGTCCGGAAGGCCTACTGGTTTGAGGGGGGAGGAATCCCTCTTCCTTTGCATGGGTCACATCTGTGCTGCTCTGAAGACAATTAAAATGTAATTAAGGCATAGGCAACTTTTAATGTTTGTATAGATGGGAAGAAGTAGACATTCTGGGGTGTGCAGTTCTTTTAAATGTGAAATACAGGCAATAGACTTCAAAACTAGATGCCAGTTGATTTTTCTCTGATCTTAATTAGTTATCACTGAGAGGAAAAACAAAAGTAGGCTGAGGAAATATGAGAAAAATTGGCTGTAGTGTGGGCTGAGGAGGATGCATATCTTTTGGAGCTATGTTGTATTTTGGAAGCAAGAAATGAAAGATGGATTGATTGCTTTTGAGAAACGTTGCCACACTGTCTGTTCCCATCTAATAAATGTTTAGAAAGTCCACTTCAAAGTGCACACTTCAGTGTGTTTTCATGAGAGCACTCTGTAGAATGGATAAGGTTTATACTGTGATACATAGGAACATGGTATTTGAATGGGTTTGTTGTGAGCAGTGTTTGCTGTAGTGGGAATACTTAGAATGGAGATTACAGTGTTGAAATTTGTTGTGTAACAACTGGCTCCACTTGCTCCATTTGGGTTCCTGGTTTCTGAAAATGAGGTTTTTGAGAGGCATTTTTCTAGTAACTTCTTCCTGCTAGGATGTAACATGCTTCCTTGTAAATTCTATCTCATGATATATATTTGCTATAGGAAAGCCCTTTTTAGATTAAGAAGACAAGACACACAAGTGTTTTTTTCCCAGAGCAAATTGAGTGGGTCGTGTTTGAAGGTCAGGGAGTGTGTAACTGTTCTTAGAGAGCATTCAAACTGGTTAATGGTTCCATGGAAGCAACAGTGCTGGTTTTTGGTTGTGCTGCAGATTGGTGGTCTGCAAGATGCTAGCCCGGATCCTGGCTGTAATGTCTCAGACAATCATGTCTGTACTGAGGTGTTCCAGAGGCAGTCTGATGCTGAGGCAGCACTTGGTGCATTTGCTGTGATCATCAGTGACAGAATTCAGGTTTCCATTGCAGATGATAGAGATGTCACTTTGGTATTTAGGCATAACATAGATGCTAAGTTCTTAGATGCTAAGTTCTTAGATGTTCTGTGCTAAGATGATATATCTGTACTGTATTCTAATGCTCCCTTACCTGATGTCATGTGGTTAACACTGCTTGCCATGCTCTAATCACTCACTGACAATGTTTCTCATATATTTACTTTAGATTTTAAAAAGTACCCATTTTTATGTACTGACATTGGACAGCAAATGAAGTATGCTTGAATATTTTACTTTGTTTACCTATCAGCCTGCTCTTCCTTTTGGTGAAGTTAATAAGAGCAGGAGTTGTTCCTGCACCTCTTATGAACTCAGTACTGCTCATTATTTCTTTGTTTTACAGCAAAATTCCTAGGATTATTCATGTGGTGCAGATATGGGGTGAATTGGGAATTTTTGAGACCCGTTTTAGGAAGATTACAGCAAAAACAGGGTAAAATATTCAAACCAGGCCTAATGTTTGCACCGTACCCCTGAGACAGGGGGAGGTTTGCTCCTACAGATAGACCTGTTGTGGTCACTGCCTGCACTGTGCTGAACTCCTCTCCTGGCAGAGAGGACAGCTACAGCTTTCTAACAGCATTTCAGGCACTGAATTACTTTTGTGCCTGAAACTCACAGAGCCTAACGTGGTTTTGTATGGGATCAAGAAAATGTCACTGTAGAACTATCAGGAGAAAGCTATCAGGAGTGCTATCTTTAGATACTGAAAATAAAACTTTCATCATAAACTGCATTGTATTAGGAAAGATAAAGAGGTGGATAGCTATAATGCAGAAGTGTTCATAGAATCACAGAATGGCTTGGGTTGGAAGGGACCTCAAGGATCATCAAGCTCCAGCCTCTTAACACAGGCAGGGCTACCTACTGCTAGATGAAGTACTAGCTCAGATTGCCCAACCTGGCCTTAAACACCTCTAGGAACAGAGCATCTATAGCCTGTTCCAGCACCTCACCACTCTCTCCCCCTAACATCCCCCCTGACATCTAAATCATTCTGTAAATGACAGAATTTAAGCAATACCCTACAGGATATTTTATTCTACTGTACTAAAACAAAACAAAACGAAAAACAAACAAATAAACCTCAAAAAACAAAACAGCCCCAAACAATATAGAGCTTAGATGAAATGAAATTCAATTCAGAATTCATCCTGACTTCCCACTCAAACTCTGCATTGCACGTAATCACATACAACTGTAAGTACCTCAGGCACCTGCAGTGCAATATATTAGCACATATAGCTGGGCTTTGGCTTATGACATTTAATAACATTTAAAAAAATCAGTGCAATAAGTGGATGCTGGACACTCCTCTGTTTCATCTTCCCTGTGTTCTCTGAGGGCTTTGGAAACATTGGTAAGACAGCTCCTATTCATGTCTGATGTGCTTATGAATATGTCAGCAATGAAAAATAACGTGTTCAGGAAGTTTTACCCTGGGAAGGGAATGGGGCAGTGCACAGTTCCCCAGTGGACACCTCCTGTTGTCTTACAGCATGCAAACAGTGGTGCTGGCCTGGACAACGTGGATGCTTAACTACCATCACTGGCTAAGTGAGGTTATCTCTAAGTTATTACAGAAAGGATGGATTATCTCCAGGGAACAAAGTTCATAAAGGCTTCCCAGAAGTAATTTTCCCTACTATTTGAGAGAAATGAACACCTTCATCTTTCTCTTCTGATCATATATATATGTCAAAAACCTCTGCATTTGCTGACTGGTAGGAGTCTGCTGGGCAAGGAAATCACAGTGGAGATCTCTTGATGTGGCAGTTTCACTAATTGTTTGTAGCTCTTGCATCATATCTGTAGCTCTTCCCAGCCTGGTAGTGCTGTGCTGTGTTGCATCACAGCAACAGAGCTTTAGCTCTCTGCTAGAGATGGGGAAGATATCTACAAATCATTCTGCATGTATGGCATTTTACTGCTTCCAAATAACACGTCTGCTTTACAAATAATTTTATGTTGATTGCATCACCTCTTTCCACCCGTTCATCCTTCTCATTTTGAGTTAAGTTCTCCTGCATTATTAATTCAGTGGCCGGTAATTAAATGATTGGCTGATCAAATTGTTCCCCCAAGAGTACCTGGGTAAGTGCATTGAAAGCTGATTGATTTAACTGAGGTCACGCAGTTTAGCTTTCCAACTCAGCATTACGAAGGACGGGAAACAAAGGAACAGATGGATGGCAGGAGGAAATGACTGCTGAGCTGGGGCTCAGGTTTTCCCTTTGGATCCCCTGTGGTAGAGAAATGCGCAGCTTGGGTGGGCAAGCTGCTGGGCTGGCAGAGTTGGTACCCCTAAAGCAAGGCTCTTAGCTCCCTCTGCTGAGTTGCTGCATGATTTTAGCTGCTGTAAGTGTGACAGGCACTTCAGCTCCCAGAAGTTCCAGCATCATTGTGTGTTCTGGTTCTGATGTGGTTTCTTTCCCAGTGAAGTAGCTACCTAGCTTTATGGTCTACTCTAGCTTAAAATCAGTCCTTTACAGTCCTTTACAAAGATAAATATATGTATTTATAACAGGGAATCAAACTGTAACGTGGCAGATGAGTATAAGCACTTTAGGTAAGACCTCCATAAAGCCATAATAACAGCCATCTGTTTCGCCTTAAGTATCCTGTAGGAAACAGTTAGTGCTTCTATATCTTTTGATAGTTCTCTCTCAATCTGGTATTATGGGGAAAGAGGGAAAATAATTTTTTCCCCTGGTTTTCTTTCCTGAAAAAAAGATAATGCTTCAATTTGAATAGATGAGAGAGCAAACCTGAAAGTGTTTGTCAAATAACCTTTATTTGTATATAGTGTCAAAGCATGATGGAGTTTTCCAAAACCTTTATGCACCAAGACAGAAAGAGAAGATAGAATGCAACTGTTAGTGAAGCTATGGCTATATAAATAGACATTAATGATAAAAAAAACATGCAATATTTCTTAAAAGTGCA